TTAATTATTATAATTTTTCTACTAATCTGTTAGAAATAATTTTTAGCTTCAAATGAAGATAACAAATAAAAGTACTAATAAAAAATAAAATTGATTTAAAAAAATTTATATATTTATTTAGTAATTTTTTAAATGTTGAAAAAAAATTTACTTTCTGTACGCAGAGTTCTTCTGCTAAGTATATATCAATTCTAATTCAATCAGATATTGATTGGAACGTCGCGGCCAGCATAAGAAACGAATCTGCAAGAGCCGCTTACCAAGAAAAAGTTGTAAACAAACTAGAAGAAAATAATTAAATGATAAGAGAATCAGACGTAACAGTAAGCTGGCAAGGCATTAAACAGGCAGTACTTAGCGCAGCAAACGAAACGCTTGGCCAAAAAACTCACTACACCAATGAGTGGTTTGATTCAAAATGCAGAGAGATTATTAAAGCAAAAAACGATGCTAGAAAAATATACATTGAAAATGGCACCCGACAGAATTTGCTTAAATATGAAGAAAAAAGAAAAGAAGCCAAAACTAGAAAGCATTGAACAAGATTTTCAAACAAATCAAACAAGATCAATGTACCGCAGAATACGAAAACATACACGCATATTCCAACCGCACTTAACAGCTTGTAAAAATAAAAATGGTGAATTGATCAGTTATAGAAAAGAAGTTTTAAATATTAATAAATAAAAAACCATTTCAGCGATCTGTTGAATAGCAATGAAGTCGAAGCCCCTAGTGATACCGTATGGACAGTAGAAAATATGCTAGAGGAACCTATACTTGAGGACACGAAACGAGCAATAGAGAAGTTAAAAAGCTTTAAATCGTGTGGAGAAGATTCTATAAACGTTGAGCTGATCAAATACGCCCGAGAAGAACTTCACAAGCAGATACATGAATTAATACTTCAAATCTGGAGAACAGAAAAAATGCCAGAAGAATGGTATACAAGCTTAATAGTTCCTATCTATAAAAAAGGCGACAAAACGAGCTGTGCTAACTACAGAGGTATATCTCTTCTTAATGTTTGGTATAAAATAACATATTTTCGAACATATTATATGAAAAACTAAACATGTACGCAGAAGAAATACTGGGAGATTATCAATGTGGTTTTAGAACCGGTCGCTCAACAACAGACTAATGCTTCGTTATGTCACAGATTTTCGAGAAGTTTTATGAGTTCAACATTAACATACATTGTTTATTAATAGACTTTAAATAAGCCTTCGATAAGCTCAACAAAAAATACATTAATAACTATCTAAAAAAAACTCGGTATACCGCAAAAATACATTAACTTAATTAATATGACTCTAATGCATGCAAACACTAAAATAATTCTGAATGGTGAACTTTCAGACAAATTTGAAACCAAATCTGGCGTACGTCAAGGTGATTCTTTTTCTATCAAGGTGGTATAATATTTAATAAATTTACACAAATAAGCGCCTATGCTGACGAAGTCGTCATTATTGCAAGAAACAAGGAGTACCTTCAAAGCGTTTTTATACAACTAGAACAAGCAACGAAGCAAACAGGTCTCAGAAGAAACAAAGAAAAAACTAAATAGATGACAAGATTTCCCCAAGATAGCCACATCAGAATAGACACAAGATCGCATTCAAACAGCTAACATAGCATATTTTGCCCATATGAAGCTTATGAAATCAACGTTACTATCGAAAGAACAAAAGTTGTGCATATATAAAACTTTCATTGGACCGGTTCTTACCCACGGCTGCGATACATGGGCTCTTAAATCCAGCTACAACAACTTGATACTGAGATTCGAGAAAAAAATACTGAGGAAAATATGTGGCCCGGTGTGCTTAGAATCGGCACATATCATATAAGGTATAACGACGAATTGAATGTCTTGAACGAAGGCCGAACTATAACACGATACATAAAAGCCCAAAGACTGCGCTGGCATGGACACGTTTTACGAATGAGTAACGAAAGAAAGACCAAGAAAATTTTCGAGACAAAGCCAGAGGAGAGCAAAAAAGAGAACGGCCGCGACGAAGATGGTTACAAGATGTAGAAGATAACATACGAACGATGAGAATAACACAACACAGAAAGAAAGCGAAATGCAGAGAAGAATGGAGGCGTATTGTAGAGGATCTGAGGAAAAAAGAAAATAGCTTCAGCATTTTATGTTAAAACTAACATTCCCGGAGTAATGGATTACTTTCCATTTACTACAGCAGCATTTGTTATTTGTTATTGTCCTGTATAAATATCACATTTAAATATATTTGAATAACTAATTATTGTTGGTTATTTACATGTAAAATTAAACTCTTTTTTTTTTAACTAATTAAAAAAACAACCTTACGCTATATCAATTCTTCAATCTCTTTATTTTCAAACATTCATTGCTTTTATACAAAATTGACGTAAATCATAATTTAATTTTATAATTAGGATAGAAACGTTCTTTAATTAATAAACTATAATAATAGTTTATGATGTTACAATAAAAAAGAAGCAATGTTTTACCTGCGCATATGTTAATTACAAAAAAATATATTAAACTTATTTTAGAAATCCCTTTCATTATAGAAAGGAAACCATTCCTTTCATTATTTTATTGTTTTAAATAATTATAGTAAACGCTTTAGTTGGTAAAAATACCGGTGGAAATAAAATAAATAAATAAAAATTTGAATATTTTAAATTTGTTATAATACTTTTATTATAATAATAATTTTAATAAAATATATAATTAAATAAAAATTTAGACATAAGAAATTTATTATAATAATTTTATTAAAATATATACAAAAAACTTATTATTAAAAAAAACTTATTATTATTAATTATTTTCAAAAATATAAATTTTTTAATATAAATTATATATATAACATAAGTTATATAAAAGGTAAATTTTTTATTTTATTTAAGTAATATTTAATAATAATATATATAATGCATTTTTAATAATAAAATAAATTTTATGTAATAAAATAAAACAAAAAAACATGTTTTTAATTTTCTGCATAGAATAACAAAAAAAATATAAAACAGTACAAACAAAGCAAATGCTTTCATCCCTCAAATAATTTGTGTGATGCACGTTTGTTTGCATTTTGCGCTCTCACTTCACCTTTTGCTTACGAAGTCTTCAAAGTCTTCGAAGTCTTCGAAGTCTTCGAAGTTTAAGTGTAGTGAAAAACTTCGAGAACAAAAATTTACAAAAAATTCAAATTTTTTTCCAACTTCGAAGACTTCGTTTACTATTCGAATTCTTCGAATACTTCGTAAATTCGAATACGAAGAGCACTAGTGTGTACATGCTTTGGGTTATTTGTTGACCGCGCTATTTGTTAATATTTTCTATTCCCACGCTTAACTGTAAAAGTTTATGCAAGAGGAATATGATATCATATTTTTTAACTTAAGAGACCTTGACCGTCTTGTAGTGTGCAAGTCTCGGTATGTGCACACACTGAACGATAGTAAGTTTAAGAATAGAACATATAAATAAAGTCAGTATCGACAAGTAACTCAAAAACAACGGAGTTTTATTTTATTATAAAGTCAACACAACAACGCTCTTGGAGTGTAGCAGTGTAAGAATTATAATAAAGAAATGTAAAATCACTTTGACTGGACACTCGTAAGTACGCAGACGTGTTTTTTAAACCCGTCTCGTCTTCTGTATGCGATATTTTACAAGTCAATGGGACTAAATAATGCAAAAGTGGTGGAGAAAAAAGTCATTTCTTGTATTAAGATTTAGCATGCTCATATACTAAGAGCCATAATTTGCGTTGTAATTTTTCATAATTCTTTTAGTTCAATAAAATTTAATTTCAAATAAAATAATGCAGCTTCTTCTCTTCAGAATGAACTTAATTTGGTCACACATTATAGTTAGACCTTCCTAATTTAAAATGCTAATATAAAAAGAATACAAGTAAAACTTTTTATTCCACGTAAATTTTTTTTAAATTATATTAAAATAAAACACTACAAAATAGCGATTTTAAAAAGTTATTATTTATAAATAAGGGTCCCAACCGGGATATAAAAGGCATAAGTTTCTGCTAGCAGTAGCATCATTTATTAGTTGCTGAACTTGAACATCTACAGTTGTTGCTCCAAATACGCCATTACGTTTGCCCTCCAACTTATTTTGAATAGTCAACAAAGCCCGTTGTGCAATCAAATTTTCTTCTTCGTCTGCATGAGATTAAATATATTTTTTAAATTATTATCTTTAATAATAAAAATCAGTGTAAGTTAGCTTTGTACTTGTGTATAATTAAAAAATAAAATATAAAATCTAAAAAAACAATGTAAGTTATTCAATATAAAGTAATAATTAAATTAATAATTAATTATTGAAAAATAATTAAATAGGCATTTTAAATTTTAATATGAATCAACAATATGTATAAGTTTTAAGAATGCTTTTTTTTGGAAAAACAATTATGTTATCTTAATATTTACAGGTAATACAATATATTCTAATAATTAATAATGTTCATACATGCACTTAGCAGAAAAACTCTGCGTAAGTAAATTTTGTTTCAACATATAAAAAATTATTAAATAAATAAATTTTTTAAATCAATATATTTAATTCGTTATCTTTATTTTAAGCTATAACTTATTTCTAACACATTAGTAGAAAAATTATAATAAATAAAAATGTAAAAAATATGCGCTATCGGCTGCAGAAAAAGTCTGCGTACAAAACATAAAAAGGGGAATTTCCGAAGTTTTAACAGTAGAACTTTGGCGTGATTTATGCTTTACTGTACCAGTATATCATTATACACAATCCCACGCACTTATTTTATAATTTAACGATTAAAAAGTAATTAAATTTATAATGGCAAATAAAGGAAAAGAAATTATTATCAGTGGGAGCAGTATTATTATTGATCTATGAAAAAAAAGGAAAATGTATCGCGAAATTGGTAAAATCGTTATGCGGTCACATTCTTTTATCCAAACAGTAGTGAACAACTACAACTAAATAGGATTATTGACCTCGAAGTTGGGAACTGGGCATCCATCCATGACTCGAATTCCAATTTTGCAAAGAAAAGGTTCGCCACTACTGAGGCGAATTTCTAATGGGGCTAGAAACCGGTAATAAATCCTTCTGGGCCATAAACAAATGCTTTAGGCTTAAACGTAAATGGGCAGTGCCGCCAATTCATGGGGCGACCGGTAATGCATACACAGATTCAGAAAAGGCCGAGGCCCTTGCTGACTCCCTGGAGCTTTAATTCCAGCCTGACGATGACTGTGAGTATGACTCTGAAGAGGAAGAACATATCACCAAGGAGGCTTGCACTATCCTGAACCAAGAGCCTGATGAAGACATCGTGCCTTGCCCCAGTGATGAAATCGCCTTAATTATTTCAAGATTGAAGATAGGATCTGCGCCAGGGTACAACAAAATTAACAGATGCTTACGTAACCTACCGGAAGATGCGATCCATCTTATCGCAAATATAATTAAATGAATGTTTAGGCTAGATGAATATCCTAAGATCTGGAAACAGGCCACAGTTGTAGTCTTCGCTAAACCTGGCAAAGACCCGCAGTTCCCGCAGAACTGGCGCCCCATTAGCTTGCTGTCAGCTCTGGGTAAGTTAGCTGAAAAAGTGATTTTAGAGAGACTTAAAACATCGATGTACTCGTTGAATATTCTCTCTGAGGAGCAATTTTGTTTTAGGGAAGACCTCACCACAGAATTACAACCGACGCGAATGGCTCAGATGGTACATTCAGAAGAAGGGAATCAACGGGTATGATTTTTTTTGACATCGCCAAGGCATTTGATAAGGTCTGGCCCGATAGTTTAAATATTTCGTTTTAGTATCCTAGTCGGACTGACCAAAATCCTTGGCAGCTTCCTGCGCGAGAAGTTGTTCCGTGTAAGAATCAACAGTACTAGGAGCATGTTTATCTCATCTTAGAGTTCTTCTAAAAATGAAAAATACAAATTAACAATGAGAAAACTAAAGCCCTGTTAATTACTCGTAAACACTGGCATCACTTTTCAAACACAACAACCTTAGCGCGAAGAACATAAAACTGATCTACAGCCACATAATTAGACAAGCACTACTTTATGGGTGTGTCGCGCATAGCAAAGTTGTCAACTCTACTATCCAGAACCTACAAGTTGCTCAAAGTCAGGCTCTCCGAAGAATCTGCAAAGTGCCATGGTACGTCCGCCCGAATGACATGCTAAGAGACTTTAGAATAGATCGGGTCAAAAAATATGTAAGGGACAGAGCCCTGAAACTATATGCGAAAACCAACAGGCTGTCCTATTTACCACTATCTAATCTCAGAGTAATCACTAACCGCACGGGGCGGTACGCAGATCTTAGATCAGTCAAGATCAACAATATCAAAAAACCTAAAATCCCCATTTTACCTCCTATAAACGTGAGCTTTAGAAATCTAGCCATAGAAAAAATAAATGGAATGTTCGGTTTAAGGGTTTATTCAACAGTGATATCAATATCACTTGCAAAAATAAGGATGACTATCGTCAAATTAAAAATGTAATTCATATAGAATCTGACATAGAATATCACACCTATGAACTAAAAAACGGAAAGACGTACTAATTTGTAACAAGAGGAGTTCCAACTACCATGAACACTTAGGAAATGGTTACCGCCAATAAAAATCTTGGTCATGACGTGATAAGAGTTTAAAACGTTAAAAAAAATAACAGTTAACGGAATAAAAAATTTCAAATCATATCCACTATACAAGTTTTCAAACAAAACGAAAATAACAAAAATGTGATAAAAATTCGTGCTCTACTGAACTGCAAAGTGAAAACAGAACCACCTAAAAAAGTAACAAGTATTCCACAATGTACTAACTGTTAGAAATTGGGAATACTAAAACCTACTGCAACGGACATCCGAAATGCGTCAAATGTGCTGGTGAACAGCACACTCCATTATTCCAAAAACCACGTAACAATAATTCTACGTGCGCAATATATCTTGAAAAAGCGCATATATATTCTACAGATATGTTACTTATGGTGCTGCGTTATCATATGATGCTAAACATCAAATTTTGAATAACTCAAAATTGGTTCGTAGTTTTGTACAATTCCTTTATTTTGCATATTAGGCCTTTATTTAGGCAGCGATTTTGGATCTTCCATGTTAGAAGAGTAATACGCAAGATTACTGGTAGTTGTCTATAATGCTTTAGATGCCATTTAAAATTGAGTAACCAGATTATGAGCAATTTATCCTCTAGAATCACTGAAACAATGTCGTTTACTGTGACGAGTGGATTTTTGTGGCCCTATTATAACCACGTATAAACTTCGTGAATACAGAACAACAAAAAGCTATACTGCTGTTTTTATTTGTTTTGCTACAAAAGTTGTGCTTATGAAAGTGGTTTCTGATTTGACTGCAAAAGCTTCTCACGCTTCGAAAAAGAGATTTGTAGCTAGACGCGGATTGTGCTTAAAATAATTTTGCGACAATGTCATGAATTTTGTAGGTATTCGTAAAGAGCAAGTTTTTTGTAGGTAAAGAAATAAAAGGCAAGTTTTTGGATCAACAAGTGGAGAAGGGGTTGGCGGAGTATCTACATGAACATCAACAGAAGGTCAAGTGGACTAAGAGCAGAACAACATTAATGAAGATGATATGGTGTTTGCAGAAAAAAAATTTACCTTCTAAGCAACCGCTTATTGGGAGCGTACTGAAAGTGACAAAAGATGCTTAAGGTCCTGTTCGTGTTGCTGATATAAAAACAAAGAATATAGAGATTCGTCGAACAATCCATAAGTTGACACCTATAAGATAGTTAGTTAGTTGTGGTGGAGGGAGAACGAATCCGCTCCAATTAGCTAAAAGAAAAAAGAAAACCGTTTTGAATCCACAAAAAACTTCGTAATAGTGGGTAGTAGATAGAGGATCAAACTAGAATCAGCCAAAGGCATTAACAAAGGTAAGAATCTGGTTAATGCTAATGCTAAAGATATCTCTATGTGAGTTGAAGAAGGGGACCCCAGAAGCTTAAACCTAGTTCTGGCCAGACCTGGACAAAAGCACATCAGTTGTTCTGATGTCATTTCTTCAAGAGCTGGTAGACACGCACTACAAGAGGTACCACAGGGAAGGCCAAGTCTAGCTCCATGTGGTCCTATGGACCAGTGTCCATAAAAAAACATTAAGAACAGATATTAGCCTAGATATCTCAGATTTGTTTCTACGAATTAAGTCAGAGGTTCTATATTTGGAATAGATGGGCCAAATAGCCTTTGACCTGGATGTTGAGGCAGTAAGAGTCCACTCCCTATTTGTCTGCCGCAAAAAATGATCATAAATCAGCCTACGAGCATAGCTGACAGGAGCAGGGATCGAAATAGGAGCGCCTTGTTTAGCAAGCTCGTCAGCGCGCTAATTTCACCTATAAGATAAGAAAATGTAAATTGTATTGAAGCCTTTACAATGATTGTATTATTTTTGTTATGTGAAGATGCATTATATTGTGGGCTTTGAGTGTATGGGCTCTATTATCAGTCGTTCTAATTGAAAAAAAATAATTTATTTGACTGGTAAGACTGTGCTACTCTGATTAAAATTCTATAATTAGTTGGAATGCATTTAATATTTTCCCCATGTTACGTTAACACAGAACTGCATTGATGAAGTAAAATTTGTAAAATTTTTAAATAAACTCGGTAATGGCGAATTAAAATTTTGTCCTCTGTTTGAATTGCTACAATAAATAGTTGGTAATTTTGATAATATAATATCTGATATATATGGTAATAGTCATGAGATTATACTATCAAAACAAATCCTTAAATCCGTAATTTTAACTCCCACCAATAAAGACTGTACATTTCTTAATAATGATATACTTAATCGAATTTCAGGGGAAGAAAAAATTTACTAGAGTTTTGATAAAATTATATCTAATGTAATTTTGATTCATGTCAATGAATACCAAATTAAATTTTTAAATCTATTAAATGTAAGCGGAATGCCATCACATTAACCTAAATAGAAAGTCAATTTTATTGTTGTTTTATTGTTATTGTTAATAATACGTAATAATGGAATGGAAATCAGAGTAAAACGCTTGTACCGCAAATAAAAAAATCTTGATTCCATGAATACATTTAACATTTTCTGGAACAATTCTTCTATTTCAATTTCAACGAACACAGTTAGCAATTATACCTGTATTTACTATTACTATTAATAAATCACAGGGCAAACATTTGATGTGGCAGGTGTCCTATTGAGACGATTAGTATTTGTGCATGGACAATTATATATAGCTACGTCATTTAGCGGAATATTATATACAAAAAAATTTCGTCTAAGCTTTAATTTTATCTTACGGCGTCCAATTATATGGATGTATATATAGAAATATTTAATTTTTGTATGTCATATATTATTTTAAAAATAATATATGACATACAACTAAATCGGTTGAAAAATAACGAAGTTATAGCACATTATGTTCAGACGCATGATCCGTAAATGCTCATATTTCAAATACGCATTACTTGCTTGTTGTGAAATTCAATAGCTGTACATTCAAGGGTAAACGCTTTGATCATACTTCCGGTCAGGCGTCTGAACATAACGTGTTATAACTTCGTTATTTTTCAACCGATTTAGTTGAAATTTAAAATATATAAATAAATTAAATATTTATAAAATTATAAATGTCTTTTTGTTATTACTTATTGAATTTGTTGTTGAAATAAATGGGGATTATTGAAGGTCATATTTTTCGTAATTTTTCGCTGGTTTCTGAGGCCTGAAATAGGTGTAAAACATAGAGTGCGCAGGCCAATTTTTGTTTTGTTGTAAAGTGTAACTATTCATGAAAAAACTCGGATACATTTTTTGGGTATTGCATAAAAAAATTACTGACTTTTTGTGCAATTTCGCTAATAAAATTGCAAATAACTGCAAATAACTTAGGAACTAATGGGCGGATCACACCCATTTTTTGCATGAAGTTGTGTTGCTATGTACGTCAGGTATATATATAGTCCAATAAGCGTAAACAGTTTTTTTTAACGATAATAAACGATTTAATATAAAAATTTTGTATGGGGGGTGGGTGTGGCAGTGGTTGGAAAACCATAAAAAAAATTTAAAATATAGATAATAAAATAAGATTTCCAGAGACCAAAATTCAGCTTTCTACCTATCATAGAAATTCAGCGGCTTCGCTGGGTTGGTCATTTCGTGCAAATGGAAAAAAGTGCTCAGCGGCTTCACTGGGTTGGTCATGCAAATGGAAAAAGTGTTTGATTCGGTATCCGCAGGTAGAAAACCCAGTAGAGGACGTCCGCTTCTTCGATGGAAGGAGCAGGTGATGAACGATTTGGGGGCGCTCAATACTACCAACTGGTGACAGCAAGCTACGACTCATGTCTGTAATAGCCAACTAAATAAGTAAATACTCGTAACACTAATACTAAAACTAAAATTTATTGCTACCAATCCGTCACTTTTCACAATATGCTGATGTGCAATATTACCATCTACATGGATATAATTATTTTTAACAGACAAATCGCGTTCAGTATCACGCGCCATAAACTGACTTTTTAACTGTAATTAAGCTTTCTTTTTTATTGTTGTTTCTCAGTAAACTTTTTCAATGCATATGTGTTAGCGCCAACTATCTTGAAATCTCGCTCTACGATAACTCTGATTTAATTATTCCTTTTACCTATAGATTAATCGCGCATATTGATTTTCTATGTTGTTGAGTCCCGACTTCTCAGCAATATAAACAATTAAGTTTCACTTCTTACTTATTAATTTCCAGCTACAGATTGCAGCTATAATATTCAAAAATTTAATATAAACAAATAGTACTAAAAATTTACCAGAAAGCCAAAAATAACTTTTAAATTACTTTATAATGAATATCAAGAAACTTACTGGAATCTTTTTCTTCTGATGGGCAACTTATTTTAATTTTCCAATTATACAGAGGATCATAAAGAAGAACATCTAATATTGTTGTAATAACGCCTTGGTTTTTACGTAGAATTAACAGAGTATCTATGCAAGATTTTTTAAAAATTCCTTTTGTTTCACAGATACCCATAGGAGAAACCATATCCCGAGTAAGTCGAAATGGAACCGTTTCAGGGGTAGGCATTATTTTACCTTGCTCAAATGCAATGCCTAAAAAAATTAAAGTAAATATAACAATAAAATAAAGGTTTACTATATTACCAAAATCTATGTGAATTACTTCAGCAGTTTGATTATCAATTAGAATATTTTGAGTATGACGGTCTCCTAAGCCAAGTATATAACCAACAACAGATGTAGTTGCAACACTATAAAATAATATAGTTAAGAAAAAATTGGTAAAAATTTAAATATTTTACCTATAAATATATGCTAACCGACGTTCGAACCAGATTCCAGGTATTAAAAATTTTTCAAAAAAAAAATGGTGAAACACTGGTTTTATTTTAGAGCATATATATTGGAATATATCATGGCGTTTGTTTGAACTCGATTTTAAATGTTGCTAAGATTTTTTTAAATATTATTGTTATTGATCTTTTAAATATTGCTATAGTTTCTTTTTTACTTACTTTAGATAATTGTCGACACGTGTTATGCGACATATCATTTGGTCGATATTTTTTGTGAGCTCCTTTATTTCCAACAAGATACTCACCAAATGGAGTAGTGTTATCGCACCATTCTAGAATACCACTTCGCATTGAGAGTGGTACAACTTTATAAGTACGTAACCTGTAATTTTTTTCCAAAATTTCCGAAGCCCCACTTAACATTTTGTTAATCATTGAAAATACTTGTTGCATCACAGCATCTTGACGAAGATCATCTTTACCTTTAAGAAGCTGGTAGCGGGACTTTCCATCGGAGCAAACGCATATAAGTTTTTTTGGAGCATTTATACCACCTACTAAGGAAACATTATCTTCCCACTTAAGTACACCTAAAAAAAAACCACAGACAGTTATATAACATATGGTAATAGTAATTTTCTAGTTACTTATTATGTTGTAGTTCAAGTTAATAGAGACTTTCAAATCTAGAGTAGGGCAGTGTATCGCATTTAAATTCTTTAGAAGTTTTAATTTGTTGCTCAATTTGAAATTATTAGTTTTCTGCGTGCTATTTATATCCAAGTTGGCGAATTCAATCAAAACTAAGAAACAATAATAATAATAGTAATATGCGTGAAACATTTATCTTTCGTATTTAATACATACTTGGAAACATTAATTCTAATTGCTTTATAATGTTTGAGTTTAGAACATTTTTTGCTTGAGTGATAATTTCCTTCACAATATTTGTTCTATTATTTTTATTTTCTGGCGCATCACAGTCAGCATAAATTAATGGATAAAGTTGATACAAAGTGTGGTGAGGATGATCTCTAACACATTTCACTAATATTTCTTTTAACAAATTAATAAAAGATACGCTGTTAGAGTTTAAACGTGCGGTAATTTGATTAAAAGCACTAATAAATTTATAACTTGGAATTAAACCTATATGCTTAATTATATGTGCTAGTAGAGTTTCGTTTTGTTTATTACTAAACCACAAGCCAAATATTCGATATACAGCAGGACTAGAAATTGAATCGTCGACGTTACAAAAATATATATAATTTTCAATCGCAATGCATAAGTAATCAACACATTTCTGCGTGCTTACTTCAAGTTCTTTTTGATCAAGATTAGCAAACTTATGTATAAATACCGCGCCCATATTTTTTTCCTGTTCTCTTGCTTTTCGTATTGAGTCTAAAACGAATTTGTTTTGCTTAATAATCTTAGATTTTGTTTGAATTTCGTTAGAATTCAGAAATGAGCTCAACTAGAAAAGATTAGTGATGTTAGAAACATTGATTTTTAAATTAATTTTTTTTTGCGTACATGTGTATATTCTCTATCAGCGTATTTTGCAATTACTTCAAAGACGGCTTTGCGATTCAGTTGTTCAAAATCTCCAAATTCATTTAAATGGAAAGCATTTGGATATTTATGAAGAATCTTATCTTTTGATTTGTCGAATTGTTTTAAAAGACTTATCGATCCATTAAAGTAAGTAGATAAAACGTTGTCGAAATTGTCTGAATTTGTTTCCATTAAATATTCTCCATAGACTCTTAATGCACTCACTCGCTCTAAACAAAATGCAAATGCTTCATTTTCAATAATATGTTGCAACAATGGTGCTGCAATTTCAAATTTTCCGGTTTCTAAACAGATCAAAGCATCCTCTAGGTAAACACCAGCCTAAAAAATTAAAATGTTTATTTTTTAAATTATTTTTTTAAAATTTTAAAAACAAATATTTTGTTCTATAATAGTTAAAACGATTGCAGTTTAAAATCCCAATCCACACACTGCCCCGATTATATTTGAACTGAACCCGTCTAGTTTATGCAGTAATTATTCACAATACATTGGCAAGCATTAGTTTCACAAACAGTAAAAATCAATAGTATAGGTAAGAAATGCCACAATATAAAGCACTGTGTTTGCAAGCAAAACCATGGTGTGAATAGCTGTATACGGAAAAATAGCAAGCAGGGTAACTATATCGAGAACAAGTGGCAGGAGAAATCAATGCGGATTGACAGTTCCACATAACAATCCTATGTGGTTAAAAAAGAAGGAATTTCTTCAATTTCTATGTATCATACAGCCCACATATCATATAGTTCGAGCAACCAAAAATGGCTTTAGTAAAGGAGACTAAAGCTGGTAATAGCCGTTTCGTCAATAATCTTATCTTTGGTAGTGTAAGAAGACTTTTAAAACAAAGGAAAAACAACTTTCTCGTTTTAAATTCTTTATTTAACTATAACATGATAATAAATATAACAATAGTGTTGCCATTAGTACATAAAAGTAGTAAAGTAGGTTTCGAGTTGATAGTTGGTAAAGTTCAACAGACTCCGCCACAATTCGAACAAAAAAAAATCATTTAAAATTTAATTTTAGCAAATCGCAATATTTAATATGTTTGTCCTTATTTAAAAATTTGGTGAGCATATTCTGCTGCATTTTCTGCTGAGATTTCGTCGATTAAGTTCTTCTCACGTAAATAGTGAAACCGAATGTCGATGTGTCTATTACGCTTAAGTGTGGTTGGATTGTTGGCTAGAAATAACGGCTAAGTATTTAAGCTCTCCAATAAGAGACTGAAATTCATTGTAAACCACTTTCGTGCATTCACCTGCACATTTATTAAGGATAGTTCCGCTAACCATTGTTGTTGAAAACGTATTGCAATTAACCATATTCCACTTTTCTAACAAGTGTTCGACATATTTGTTTGATATGTCCCTCTTCCTCTCGATTTGAATTCCCAAATAGAAAGATATAGGTCCCCGATCTACAGCTTTAAAATGTTGATTTAAATTTATTATTATAAGTTCCAAATTATCTTTTGATGAACACGCCAGAAGCATTTCGTCGACATACAGTTCAATCAAATTGACATCATTTTCGAAACATTTAACATAGATACAGCTGTCAGATTTACATCGATTAAAACCCATTTTGAGTATAATTTCGGTAACTTTATTATTCTACTCTCGACCCAATTGTTTAAGATCATAAAGGAATTTTGCAAGTCTACAGACTTTATCATCGTTTTATTTATTTTCCATCATAGGCAGTTACTTCAGGTAGATTTCATCAGCTAAACCACCATTTAAATATGCTGCAGCAATATCTATGTGATCTACTAGCAATTTGTGTTGAGCTGCCAACGCCAATAGTAAGCGTACGGTAGAATGTCTTATGACAGAAGCATAAGTTTCAGTATAATCCACGTTAAGTTTTTGCGTACAGCCTTGGGCGATAAGTCTAGCTTTATAATGTTTAAGAACACCATCGGGATTTCGCTTTATAACAAATACCCATTTACAGTCTATAACGTTTTTATTTTGTGGTTTCGGCACTATCTGTCATATATCATTTTTTTATCAAAGTATCGTATTCTAGTTTCATGGAGCTTTTCCCCATTTCAGCGTTATTTGATTTTAGCGGTTCTTTTATTGTCTTTGGATTTTTGATCATTGTATTGAGCATTTCGTTATTGAAAGTTTTGTGTCGTTTTATAATGTCATTTGGTTTTACAATAACTTTGTGATTTCGCAATTGTTTTACAAGTTCAGAATTCAAATGCGTTTCCGTAACATCTTGATCTGAGTAAAATAAAGAATCTTTGTCATCACACTCATCACTTTCATACAAAGTCACTACATTATTATCTGTACAGTGTGGGAGGCACTGTTTCCAAATGTTTAGCTATTTAGCGACATTTGAAGGCTTGGAGTGGTAACCAGTTAGTTGCTGGGGCAAGTGCGGTGACAAAGTTTCAGCTGCATAAAGGCGGCTGCAGGTTTGAGCACTGAACATACTTACAACTTGAACCTTTCGTGAAGTATGCGTATCGTACGAATGTGTGTTGCACTTCTTTTGGAACAAATTTTAATCTTAATCCACGCATTATTTCCAGATTTGATAATTAATATAAATCTTTGTTATTTAAATGTGCGAAGCGATTATACCAGATTATGAAATTATTGTCCGCTTCAGCAAGAGCGTACGCAATCTCTTTGTTTTTTTTTTCATAATTTTGACATAGAATATTCCATCGCATTCTTCAGCAACAAAAATTGTTTGTCCTTCTTTTGTTGTAACGTTCGCGTATCGACTGGAGAATTTTATATTAAAGTTGTTTTGTAAAAGTTTTGAGACTGAAAAAGAATTCAAATGCAAACATGGCACAAATAGCACATTTTTTAATTCGATTTTTCACAATCACAGTGTTTTCACAATCATTTTGACGTTTCCAATACCTTGTGCTATTACCATTTGACCTGATGTTAACAAAAAAGTTTTGGCGCATTTTTTCATTGTTATAAAATACTCTTTCTCTTTACACATATGCGACTGCTGCGTTGCACCGCTGTCGGGAATCGAATTGTTTGTTTTAACTTGATCTTTTGTTGCACTTACATTAAAAACGACGGCGAATTTGTGCATGCTTATTGATTTCTGCAATTGGCGCGAGTATGGCCGCGTTTACCAAAAGCATGACATTTGATGTTCTTCTTTTCGTTTGCATCTTTACTATTTGAATTCTTTTTATATCGAAAATTTACTGCTAAAACCGTTTCGTTTCCATGGGAATATTTTTTGTTTTGCCGCATCTCTTCATTTAGAATTTTTGAGACTTACAGTTGGCAAACTGTCACGTGTCTCGGTTGCAACGACAAAGAATTACGGATAGCAAATCATCTATTAAATCAAGTTCGTCAGTTATTGCACAAAAATGATTAATTTGATTTGCAAATTTTTTGTTTTTATCAAATTTTTCTTAAATTAGCATATAAGTTGATATGTATATTGGTGGACACAATAAGGAAGGTTGTCGAACTCATAATAAGCGGACGCCTGCAGCAATATTTAGAAGGATCCACATTGGTCTCTTTGATAAACAGCACGGTTGCCGGCAGGCTACGTCAACGATAGATACAAATAGAACGGTGACAAATATTGCAATGGAAGCTATCAGCGGAGGACACACATTGCAATGAAATACTGAATAGTAATTACGGTGAATTAAAAAATGCTTTCGACTCAGCGAACTGGTCAAAGAAACTACTTTCGCGATATAATGATTTCACAATAATCACTTTTGGGACCTACACTGTAGAATGCTATGAAAAATGGAGTCCTGAAAATAAAACTTCCTGATAAAGCGGCAATTGTTGGTTATGCTGATGGCATTGCACTAGTGGTGGTTGACATATTTACAATTGAAATGCAACTACGCATCAGCAAGAGTATAACGATAGGTCTGCAGATCTGGATTTGGCGCCTCAAAAAACATTAGCGATATTGATAAGCGCAAGAAAGCAAAAGAAGAAGATGACCCTTATAATTGGTGGGCAAGAAACAATAAAATACCTTGAAATCAAGCACCTAAACAGACGCAGTACCTTGCGTGTTGCTTGCGCCTACATAATCGAGTTCAATGGTGCAATTTATGTCATTGCTGAAAAAGCGAAGTGAAAAGCTCTATCAGAGCTCGCATAACCAAGAAGAGTGCTCTCTATAAAAACAGCTGCAGAAATTGATGATCCCGAGAGGGCAATCCGTTGGACATTGGGGTGAGTTCAGTTGGTTGATTTCTCACACTAATTTGGGCTTCCGAATGCTTTACACCTCGCTAAAAAAAAAACAAAAAAAAATGTCTGGAGAAAAGAAGCAACTCAACAAAGATTGTAGCAGCTTCACTGAAAGTGAAGATGAAGGAATCAATCTTTTTAATACACATTGAAAACAAACACGATTTCACAGGTTAACTGCACTATTATGAAGAAATTGATATAGTGTAACTTATAAACGAAGAAATTTTGTGGAATTTGGGTTTCAATAGACTTGTCACATGTTCACAATTCTCGCATAAGCCTAAATAATATTTTGTATAAACATTGATTAACAATTCGTATGCTTTCATTGTAATTACAAAATAAATAATTCAAACATCTAATAATAGTATTTTATATATACCAAAAAATTACCAAATATTTTAATGGCCAAATATTTTTTAATAATAATTTTGTTTTTTTAACAATTTAAACAATGTCTTATACAAGACAACGTATCTGATTGCATTTAATTTGGAACACAATCCAAGTTGTCGCACAAGCTAACGTGGCATTCCTGGATACTACCCGGTATTCGCTGTGTTATAAACTAATACCGAGTACAGCGAGTACTATCCTTTAGTTTGGATTGTGCATAGGGTTTGGCATACGTCACGTAAAATTAGCCACCGGTAAAGGACGCAATGATACCTCGGATTTGTAAATCAAATGTTGACGTCACCTGAAAACGACTATGATACTTGAGAACTACAGGAAAGTTATTACCGCTGTCACGCTCATGACGTCAAAATGTTCTTGCAGACTCTAATGCAAAGTTTGGAAGAAAGAAATTTTTGATCGAAAAGTTGGAAAACTCAGTTTCTATAAATTTACCATTAATAACAATCTTAGGCTGATTGATTTCGCTAAAGCGCAAAACATGGTAGTGTGTAGCATCAGATTCGCCCAACTCGATATCCATAAGGCAGTGTGGCTTTATCCCGACTTTTTACCATGGACAACTAGCTTGTCTTAACCAAGTCACGAATGCGACTTAGTACCGCCAACACACGTTCCTGTTAGTTAACTACGATCATGAGCAGTAGCAAAACTCTTCGCCGCTAAGCTTTCTAGCCAAAGGAAGAATCAATCCTCCCGTCCTAATAATACTTGCAGATAATGGGGCAAATCTGTTACTTTCTACGCACTACTGTGTAAGGTGCCCTTCTCCCAATGATGTCTCTAACGGTATAAAAAGGAGTGTTTCCAGACTACTGCTGCGAAGAATGCAGCCTATAAAAAAAAACCTGCATACAGCAGCTACGCAAGCCATACATGCACAATATCCGAAAATAATGAAAGAAGAATGCCTATTCAGATGGAAGAAATGAAATCAAGAAAGATGGTGCGAAAGGAAATCCAGATGTGTAGAGAAAGGAGTTATGCCCGTAAGTTTTACCAAAAAGTGAACCGTCTGACTCAAATCTGGAGCATAAATTTAAAAGATTGGAAATGGTGATCTGGTTATGGATACACAGAGTATATTGATGATGATAACATCCGCTCCGTTCCTGGAGTCCGCAAACGAAAATGATGGCGTTGAAATTTTACCACCTAGCCATAACGAAGTACTCATTGCTATACAATGTAGTGACATATTAACCATGACCACACACAATACGTTGTGTGCGATATTTAATGTGTCACACTAACCCGAAACACTCAAATATCAAGTATGACCGAAAAACCCGAAATGCCAAATATTGTTCCAATATGCATTTGGCAATTTGGATTGCCAAATATAATCGATACATAAGATTCTATTGGAAATTAGTTGTAAGAAACTATGTTAGATTTAAGAATGAGTAAATAATAAAAATCATTCTTAACTTGACGAGCAAAAGAATAAGTCGCTTTAATTGTGTATAAAAAAAAATAATTTTGCTACAGTTTAATAATAACAATTAACTTGATACCTGATACTTACTTACTTAAATGGTCATAACAATCTGTTACTAAGTTTGGTCTGACGACCAAACTGGCATACCTTGTCCAGGCTCGTAAATCAAGTAAGGTTAATGTTCCCCAACCTCAAAAACCTTTTATAAGCCTACTATAAGAGCTCAGCGATGTTCATATTTTTTATATTTTCTTAAAACCACGGTTTTTCGTCGCTTGGGTCTGATGTTACAAATCTTTTAATGCAGATTTAGACTCATCGTTCTGATTCTCAACTTTGGTGTTGAAATCTAGTTTTGTTTTTACCACACTAAAAACACCACACTAAACAATTGTGCACAATTGAGATTTAAATCACTTATTTTATACTTACATATGTATCCTACTTAATATACTAATAATAATATACAAATACTGATAAGAAATTACCTGTATATGTTCGTTAACGCTTTTATTATTTTTTAATATTGATATGTTATTTTTTGCAAGATTTATTTCCCCTGTCCTTTTGCATTCTTTTATATATTTTAATAAGCATTTTTCAATTGGACTTTCCTAAAAGTATTAGTATACATATTATGAATAAGTTGAGCCAATGACATACATTTATACCTTATAGTATTCCTCCATTTTTCGTGTGGCACGCAATCCTGCCGTTTTAAATAATACAATCTGGTGTGATAAAATAAGTTCCTTACATCTGAAGCTAGCATAATTTAAATTCGATGCATTTTGCCATTTTACAAAAATTTTATTTACAGGTGAATTCGTTTTGAATTGAATCTTGCAATATGTATCACATAAATTAAGTAAATTCGAATTAAATTTATATACTTACCTTACAGTAGTCTTCAACTTGCTGTAACAGTTTAAACCATGTCAAATATTTGTAAATATTTTGAAGGCATTCAATGCTAATTTCTTTAAAAATACGTATAACGCAATTTCTGGCATTGGATATGGCAGCCAAAGTATTGTTTTCTTCGCGATTAAATAGACATTTTAAAGAATTAAAATGATGCTTTTCGAATTCTTGTTCCAAATCAGTTATTGTATTTAGATTTATATGATTATCAATTAAAGTATCCCATTGACATAAGCGCCAACATACTTCATAATCTATTTTGGATTTCGTTTGAAATTTATTTGCCAAAGAAATCATTCCATTACGTTTTAACATAGATACATAAAACTGTTCTTGTATTATTTTTGCAGAATTATCTTCTATTAATATGTCTGACCAATTATTATACAAATTTAGAAAATCAACACGTGACTGAAGTGGGCTTAAAATGACAGATAGTGCTGAAGTATCGCCAATTGCTTCGTAAGCCTGAAAAAGAAGAACTATGCTGTAAGTTCAGATAATTTAATATCATAAATACAAAATTTCCAATACACCAAAATGTCTTAACAACTGTCATCAGTTTGAATGATCATAATGAAAAATTCATTAGATGGGTCACTCTGTTACAAATCAAACAACTTTTGGCTAAAAATGACCTCATCTCCTCTGATTTGGGTGAGCTCCTTTCATTAAATATGAGGACCCATATCTCGTGAAAAAATTATTTTCTAGGAGATACGGACCAATTAGCATTGTGAACACATTTTTAAACGGGCTGCATAAATGATAGGAATATGAAATTTGTTGAATTTTAAAGATTATTGATTGCACTTTTAAGAAATTGTTTAAACAATTAAGATTGTTTATATTTAAGTACTATATTAATATTAACCATTTTTCAAATGTATCTCCATTTGGAAAAAATGGATAAACATAAAAAAATTTTTACTTCTTATTTTTAATTCGAATTAACCAATGATTTATCTATATAGTTTACCTATACCAATTTTAAAGAATCGACAAGAAATATTTAATAGCACAGCAAAACTTTAAAAATAAAAATATTGAATGTAATGTATACTTGGTGTTTCCGAAGGGTCACAACTTACTTTCCAAATGTTACAAAGCATATGATTAATGTTGTTAAAAAAATTGCTCAAAAACATATATATTATTATCCGTAAAAATTGATGGAAAAGTGACCCAAATGCAAAAATTACTTATTCTAAGTAATCTTAAAGAGCTGCATACTCTTTTCAAACTAAATTATATAGACCTCAAATGTGGTTTTTCTAAATTTGCATCTTTACGACCACAGTATTGCGGTTTAGCAGGAGCAAGTGGCTCACATTCAGTTTGTGCGTGCTCCTTACACGAAGATGTAAAAGTAACAACAGAAGGAGTAAATATAAAACCACTTACTACATGTACCATAGAGCCGACAAATGACTATAAAGATTGCCTATGACTATAAATTTGCATATTTAACGCACAAAATGTTTTTTAAAAACTTGTCATGGAAATGTGTTGAAATTATAAACATCAATCAACAACTTCTAGAGATATTTGATGACAAAATAGAAACTTTTACATGTAAACAATGGGTTCGTCAAGACAGAAGCACATTAAAAACTTTGACATCTCCAGTAGACGAATATTTGCAATTCTTATCGGATGGTTTAGTCACATTGGAATAGAAAAACAAGTTAGCAGAAAGTCAATGTATCGTTTTGTGTGATTTCTGTAATTATTATGCTTTTCTGATTCAATACTCTGTACAAAACATTCAGTGGTATAATGATTAGGCAGCAATTTATCAGTTTCCAATACGCTACCATGATGAAAATAAACAACTACATTTAAAATAACTATCGTACATTTATTTGAAATATATGCCATCAAATTATTATAAAAAATTATTTATTTTTTCGATGAATTGAGTTTACTATATAAAAATAAAAAAAATTGTTATTAATTTAACTCTGCATAAAGCGAACTTTGGTTTAGAAGCAGAATGTCGCTTTTTCCCAAGTTCACACGGCAAAGGACCATGTGACGAATACACAATCCAAATTAAATACCAAAGTAGTTATTTAACTGGGCTAAGGAATGATTGCTAAATGTTGTATGCTATGTTACTTTTCCACATTAAAAGATTACGAAACTGAAGAAAATAAGATTAAACACCGCTTCGAAGTAGCTAGCAGTGCTGTTTATATTTGAATTTACGAAGTATTCGAAGAATTCGAATAGTAAACGAAGTCTTCTAAGTTTAAGTGCAGTGAAAAACTTCGAAGACTTCGAAGATTTCGTAAGCAAAAGGTGAAGTGAGAACGCAAAATGCAAACAAACGTGCATCACACAAATTATTTGAGGAATGAAAGCAATTGCTTTGTTTTTACGGTTTTATGTTTTTTTTTTTTTGGTATTCTATGCAGAAAATTAAAAACATGTTTTTGTTTTGTTTTATTTTATTGCATAAAATTTATTTTATTATTAAATATGTATTATAATATACATTATTATTAAATATGTTATTATTAAATATTATTTATATTAAATAAAAAATTCACATTTTAAATAACTTGTTACGAATTTCATCAGAGTAGCAATGAAATGTTTAAATATTATTTAAACATTAAGTCAATTGATATTTTTATAAGAAGTTAGTTTGGAATTTGTTTTGTGTGAAGCTGTTTTTTTTATTAAATTGACTCCTAGTAAATACTAGTTCTTTGTAATACAACAAATACAATTACTATAGTTTCTCCAATTTTATAAGTTCGTTTCATTTTTTACAAAATCCTGAGATTCGAATAATCACGCAGGCGATTACGTAACATTTGGTGTCAGAAGTGGGATTTTGTAAAATGATGAAATTGGAAGAATTAACTGTGGTTCAACTGAAAGAGCAGTTGGAGAAAGTGGGACTTGGCACAGGTGGTGCGAAAGCAGAACTGCAGTTGAGACTTCGTGAGGCGTTGGAGGCTAATGGCATACAGGGTGAGATGAAAAAACTGCAACAAAGTAAAACGCCATAATTTTTTCATTTTTTTTAAATTTTATTGAATGAAAGCAAAAAATGTCGGAAATAACATCAAATTTGAGAATCGGTTTAGAATTGTTCGAATTGGCCACCTTTGGCACGAACTATGGCCTTCAAACGGCCAATGAAACCATCACACGCTGCCCGAAAGTGGCTCTGTGGTATTTTGTCCCATTCTCGGCGAAGCGCTTGCTTGAGATGATCGACACTTTGGTATTTTTTAGTGCCAACCTTGCTTTCCAAAATACCCCAGGCACAATAGTCCAACGGATTGGCATCCGGAGATTTTGGTGGCCATTGTGCGGTGGAAATGAAGCGAGGAACCTCATTTCTTAACCATTCTTGGGTGGCGCGTGCTGAGTGCGATAGTGCTGAGTCCTGTTGGAATGTTCAAGGTCTGCGGCCGAAATGTTTGCGTGCCCAGGGCTTCAGAACTCCCTCCAAAATATTTTCGCGATAGATTTGCGCATTGATTTTGACCCCACGGTCGATGAATACGAGCGGCGAGCGACCATCGGCTGTTATGGCGGCCCACACCATCACCATGGCCGGCTTTTGAGTTGTGGTGGCCAACAGAAGTTGCAAATTTTCAGCTGACCTCTCTGGCAAGTAAACACGATCATTTTGTTTGTTTACAAACTGCTGGATAACGAATGGTTTCTCATCGGAGAAAACCAAATTCGGCAGTTCACCACTTTCGGCCAAGCGAAGCAACTCTTTAGCTTTTTCGAGTCTAACTTTTTTTTGCGCATCAGTAAGAACTTGCACTTTTTGGAACTTCAATGGCTTTAGTCCAAGCTCATTTTTCAATATTTGCCGAATGGCATATTGCGATATGTACAGCTCACGAGCCATTTTTCGTCCACTGCGACGCGGATTTCGTTCGATTCGCTTCTTCACTTTTCGAACCATTTCTGCCGATGTTGCTGTTTTTTTTCGTCCACTTCCTTGACGTCGGGCTACGCTACCAGTACCATGGTAACGAGCGATGATACGAGACACAAAAGATTTATTCACTTTTAAATGCTGGAGGGCTCTAACGATAGCCACTTGTGGTTTTCCAGCCAAATGCAAAGCAATCACACTATCACGCTTGAATTCCATCACAAATAACTTTTTTTCTGAAAAATTCCCACCAAAATGCTTTTGTGCGCTTGTAAACAATATAATGAGCTGTCACTAGAATAAATCTGACAGCTGTGGGACGAGCGGTTTATAAATGACAGCAGTCTGAAGTTGGTTGCAGTTTTTTCATCTCACCTTGTATATGTAGAAGAACACGAGTTCCTCGATGAAGAACCTGACACGAATAGTGAAATGATTGCATTCATGAACTTAATGATGCAGAAGCTTGAGGAAAATTCAGAAGAACAGGCGCACGGTTTACGCAAGTTGGAACAACAATTTAGTGAAATCACGCAGACATTAGACCAAAATTTTGTCGAATTAAAGATGGAGTTACAACAAGTCCAAAAAGAGTGCTCGAGAAGAAAGGACCCGATTGATCAGAATGTCCAGGTCTCAAAAGGTGAAACGGTTCAATTGGAAAGCCATGCTGAGAGTAGGCAGGTAAGCGGGTCATCTTCAGCCATTCGTGAAACTGGTAGCGTTAAACTACAAGCACCGACGCACAGTGTGACAAAACACAAAATTAGGCGGTCATAATTCGATATTTTCGGAACCAGTAGAGATGTTGATATGAAATTTTTCTAAAATATAGTTTTTGAGTTAATCTTTCTTTTAAATCTAATTTGAGCCCAATCGGCCTACCGGAACTACCCGAAATTTTTGTCCAAACATGGGTATTTTACCGTGGTCCCAAGATTATTTAAAAACTATTATAGGTAGAAAGCTGAATTTTGGTGTCCGGAAAACTTACATTATTTTCTAGATTCCAAAATTTTTTTATGGTTTTCCGCCCACTGCCACACCCACCCCCCATACAAAATTTTCATATTAAATGATTTATTATCGTTAAAAACACTTTTTGCACTTATTGGACTACATATATACGTGACTTACATAGCAACACAACTTTATGCAAAAAATGGGTGTGATCCGCCCATTAGTTCCTAAGTTATTTGCAGTTTATGCAACTTTAGCGAAATTATGATTTCGTAAAAATTGAACCAACTTTAAACCCTTATAGCTTTTTTACTATTTATTCAAAAATGATCATTTTTAATTTTTTTTAAAGCTTACTATATTGTTATTCATTACGTGTAAAAAAAATTTCAATTTTAATTATCAATAAAATTTTATTAGCGAAATTGCACAAAAAGTCAGCATTTTTTTCATGGCCATTTTCACTTCTATCTGCGATAACCAAAAAATGTATCCGAGTTTTTTCATGAAATTTTTCCTACTAATAGCCAAATAGTTAAACTTTACAACAAAAAAAAAAATTGGCCTGCGCACTCTATGTTTTATACCTATTTCA